AAGCACTTCCATCCACACTCCGATCCCATCACTACCGACCACGTGAAACGCTGTTCCTCGAAAGTTATTTTTATAATCGTGAACAGGGACAAGCATTGTACCATAAGGTACTTAAATCGTTAGTAGAAAGTATATGTATATAGTTATAATAGAAAGTTTAATGATACCGATATTAATAAAGAACACAATAATAATCGTAATATCATCGAAGATTACGATTAATCAAATCGCGCGTTAAGATTAGTCTTCATTGTTAATCATGTATACACACCATTGTATACACACAGGTAAATATATACACACGTTGCAAATTGCACGTTTTGAGCAGAAATACATGAAGAATAAAATGAGGAACAGGTTTCACGATTTTCTAACCCAAAGACGTTCGAACCTCTTTTCATTGATGATTTTTTTTTTTTTTATGATTTATTTTTGCTATTTCATTGTGTTATCTTCTCGTGTGCGTGTTTAGGAACAATGCCAAGAGATTAGAGATCTTGGAGTAAGGAGATCACAACACGTGATTATCGTTACGTTCACGAATGGACTTGTTCCTCTCTTCTCGAGACAAAGAATATAAAAAAGGAGATGAGATAAAATAAGCATTAACGAGAAAGAAAGAATTATGAGGAAGGAAAATATGAAAGGATCGATTAAATTAGATATACCGCGTCGAATTGATAATATCGCGGATTTATTGAGCGTAAAAATGGAATCGAGATGATTTCGTAGGTACGTCGTTGTAAATAAAAAAAAATGAAGAGAAAAAAAACAAAAAAGATTACGATCAATAAACGATAACACGATGAAATTTATATTAAATACATAGCAAGTACGAGGATAGGTTTCTAATAACGATTTATTATAAAAGTGAATGTACGTTGATGTCTAAGATTTTTAACAAGATGGAAAAAAATAAGAAAAACACAAAGTGATTATTATTAAACTATGATTATTAACTCATAACCGAGAAACACAAGTACTAATTAAACAAGAGAGAGTTTGAATACAGAACCACATTTTTTAGCCAGGTCATGAATTTTCTCACGTTGCATATATTACTTTTGTAACAGGTACATTACATAACACATATGATCACGGTCACAGAAACCATATAAGAGACACCGCGTTATCATGAAGCGACCATTAGATTTCTTTTTTTTTTCTTGACCATGTGAACATATAAATTAAAAAACAGTTGCGATATCATATTTATACATATTTATACAAGGAATAAAAAAATTTCAAAGATGATATATGATTTTTTTGATTAATCAAATTGATATAGATATTATTACATAGTTCTGAGAAACAAACTATCAACGATTTATATAATTTGATCGATTAACTTTGTTTAATAATCAAGTCAAGATTTTTAGTTTTCAATTATGATATAGGAATATTTAAAAAAAAAAAAGAAGAGGAAACAAGCTAAAAAAATAACGTGGTTCACTTGTGGTATTCGTGAACGAGATCGATTATAGATTGCGTGTATTCACTAAGTATGCACGTTCAGTACAGTACAGTCGTTCATTACAAAGCATTACAAATACAATACAAAGTAGCGTAGTGTTCATAATGGTAGTCCACTTGTAGCGAAATAGTGTTTAAACAGTCCAAGCAAACAACAAGCAACAAGAAAAAAAACCGGAAAAAAGACATAATCGTCAAAAAAATTGCAGGTAACCATAAAAAATACAGAAAACGTGAATCGATCTTCGTAAAGTACGTGCAAGACACGCACACTCATACATATACACATGTACACATGCACACGACACATGTATTATATACACATATATTGGCACATATTGCGATACAAGATCACTCTCAAGCGCGTCGCAAAAAAAAAAAAAAAAAAAATGTTGCTCTAAAGATATGAAAAAAGAAAAGAAAAAATAAACTATATATTTAAATACACTCGTGACACAAATACAAAGACACGATATACACATATACGAAAGCGACGCGATTTCGACAACCACGTGACAGAAAACGCAGAAAGCGAATTCACTCGCAGAAGTAAAAGAAGAAAGAGGGTCGAGGGATGTTCTAAACGTAGACCCGTCGGCGTCGCGCGATTTATATAGCTATATTGTATTATGCATGTCGATATACGGTCACATATAACGATGGAAAATGAAAGTAAATCAAATGAAACAAAATGAAAAAAAAAAAAAAATAATGGAAAAAGTAACTGGAAAAAAGTTAAAATGCCGGACAGGGAGATCGGACGTCCCCCCATTAAAATAATAATTACACGTACATACTCACTCACATAACACATACAGAGTACATCGACGCGTACGACGTACATTACGTCGGCGTTGAAACGTTTCATTTTGAAAGTACCTTGCGCGAGTCGTCTCGAATCGTTTAAGTACAAAAAGATAAAAAAATAAAAAGAAAGAAAGAAAGAAAAGAAGAAGGAGAAGAAATGCTGTCTCGATGGATGAGATGCGTGCGATCCACGTTCCACGCGATTCTGAAACCAGGGTATTGAGTATTAATTCGTGGATTCGGTGAAGAAATCAGGTTTCCTTTTTTGTGTTTGAGGCCATCAGCGACGAGCATCTTTTGCGTGGGTTGTATATGAATCGGAGGGATTCACGATGCTGAGTGGTAAATTTGAGGAAATCGCGTGTCACGCCTCTTTCGTTAAATCCCCGACAGGCATTAATGAGTTCCTGGAATCAAATTGGTTGTAAGAATTATATTTAAACGATGTTTTGCCTGTTCAATTCAAAAGGTTGTAGACGCAACGCGAATCCCTTCGCGTTCGTTTTCAAAATGTTTCTATTTTTTTGAACGAATGAAAACGATATGCGAATAAAAAATACATTCGTATATTATTTCAAAGAATATTTATTAAAAAACGCTGAACATAAACGCTAAAATAATATATATACGCTTTGTTGCGCTGATTTTTCGGCTTTATTAATATTACGTACATCTATCTATGCATTTTTTATCGCTGTTTTTAAATGCTGTGAGTATGAGATACAAAAAAAAAAA